TTACCTACATTTTAACAACTCTACAAGCCAGGATTACCAAGAATGGGGAAAAGGAGAAAGAGACAGCGTGTTCACTCGGCAGCACAGAATTTTTCCAAGCCACTGAAGCAGCAGAAAATGCAAGATTTCACTGCAAATAGACAGTCTGCTCCAGTAAGTAACTCATCTGTATGTGACTCATTGGAATGGGATTTAAAAACCGAACTTGAAAGCAAACAGCATATAGAACTTTCTGTTTCTCTCACAGAAAATAGCTCCCCTCCCTGGAATTCAGCACCTACTTTTCCTGCACAGGATGAGATAGTAACAAACTTAGTAAGGGAGAATGAAACAGATCTCTTTTCCAGACAATGTTTGCTCACAGCTCAAACTGTAAATTCAATCTACGAACTTTTATCAATTGTCACAAATAAGATTGACTGCTTGAAAGACTCTTTTGCAAAGTTTATCAGCAGTCAAACAAACATTGCAGAAGGACCCAGGAGGACACATAATGATAGACAATGGATGGCTAATGCAGAAATGGAAACTAGAATAGGCCCCTCTCTCCTTTCTATAAATGAGAGAGGAAAGAATATCCACAAAGAAAACAACACCCAATCAGATAGTTCTAGAGGTGACCATTATAACCTCAGTTTACAGACCAACCAGGTAACCTTGCAAATCTACGACAACAGAAGAAATAGAGGACGTTGGAGTGATAGAAAAGCAGTTAGGTAGTCTCTGAGCCAGCTGCTCCGCTGAGAGTATACTCAGATTGATTTATTACATGCAGAGTGGTTGCCAGCAAGAAGGCAATGTATGAGAATTTTGTTATCCTTCAAGCAGTCCATAATTCCCTCAATGCTTTTTAGAATGAAGCACTTCCTGAGCAGTTTTTTAATATTTCCAATACGTGTCTTCTGCTCAGGGAACCTGCGCCCACTCCTGATTCAGTCTCTCCATGAGGGAACTATTGCTTTAAATCCAAGCAACAACAGACCTCATACTGATAAGCTTGAAGCAGGGCAGCTGAATCGACCTTGAGAAAGCAGAGAAGTGATCCATAAACTGAGTTACCCACAGTCACTGATGCTGCTGAGGGTGTGCCAGAAAAGTTGATAGACTTTATCGATGTATTGCCAGAACCTGAGCAAGCTAATAATACACAGAGGCTGGATGGTTTAAAAGAAGCATTGACAACAACTACTCAATCTAATGCATCAAATAACAAATTATAACTATCCTCCATAAAGTACCTCTATGGAGAACTTGAACTGACTATATGAAGGCCAGTGCAAGAAAAACACTTTAAACATCATGTCATGGAATGTAGCCAGATGGTATCAATTTAGAGCCCTTAATCACTCTGATCCTCTGAAAGGTAAGGATATTACATTGGTCCAAGAGACTTGGACTGTGGATGATCTCCTGCTTAATGGCTATTATTCATATAAGCTGGAAGCAAGGCCAGGCAGAGGCTCAGAGAGACTGAAAGGAGGGCTGGGTATATTTATTTCTACCAACTTGAGAGCAGAGTCCTCACTTATTACCCCTTTAAACCATTCAGCTATGGCCCTTCTCCTGAAGTTGGACTCAGTCCTGCTTTTGATAATTAATGTTTATCTCCCTCTTTCACTAAGAAAAGCTGAAACCACTGCTGTATGGCTGGAGTGAGAACACTATGTTCGTAAACAACTCATGGAACACCCAAATGCCAGGATCCTACTAGTGGGAGACTTGAATGCCAGATTGGGACCAGATGATTATACATTATTCATGAAACATCATCAATACCCACCATCGGAGGTCCCTATACAAACCAATGCCCCCCCCCATCATACGACTCTCCAAAGACATTAGAGGTAACTATGCTGGCCTCTGTCTTGCCAAGTTGGCAAATAAATTTAACTTCTTCATATCTAACGGCTCATGGCCTGGTGACTATCCTGGCGAATTTACATTTGTGGCAGGGTCCAAAACTAGCACCATTGACTACATCTTAACTTCTATGGACTTAGTACATTGTATAGAAAATTTTGAAGTCCTGCCTTACCTAGAAAGTGATCATCTACCTCTGTGTATATACATGAAGCCCTTTATCAGGCAGATACCCTCCAAGGACCATTTTATCCCTGCAATCTCTACAGCAGGCCTAACAAGATGTCAGGTCAAATGGGCCCAACAACTTGATCAGAAGGTAAGGAGAGCCCTAACAGAGGATAATTTTCAAAAAATCTGCACAGCCTTTATATCAGCCAACCTGACTCAAGACTTATTAGAACTATATAAAACTTTAGTTTACGAGCTACAACCATTATTAGCACATGACCAAAATTTCTCAGTTAAGAGATCCTGTACCGCCTCCAAACCATGGTTTGATAAGGATTGCATAGAAGCCAAGAAAGCCCTTAACTTGACATACAAGGAGTACAAAAGCGAGACTGGATATGGCAATAAAGCAATTCTTAAACAGTTACTTACACTCAAAAAACAATTCAAGCAATTGATTGCATTCAAGAAGAGACAAGACACAAAGTCTTTCTGGGAACAGCTCATTGTGGCAGCAAAGCAAAAGAACTCCTCCTTGTTTTGGGGTCTAATAGCTTGCCACTCTGAAAGAATCTATACCCCATTAGACTGTCATATATCTCCTATAACCTGGGAACTTCATTTTCAGAGAATGTATGAATACCCCTCCAGCGAGAGTACAAGGTCTGTAATGAAGGATTTACCTGAGTGGCCTCCAGTTTCAGAGTCGAAATTAAATCCCTCATTGGCCAACTCAAGATCGGGAAGGCTCCAGGAGCTGACTTCATTTTGGCTGAATTACTAAAGAATAATGTGGAGTGGTGGATACCTGTCCTGGTAGCGCTATTCACCTATATTGACTCCACCGGCCATGTCCCAGAGGATTGGGGCTTGGCAATTGTGGTCCCAATTTATAAAAAGGGAAAGACGACCCTGCCAATTACAGAACAATAAGTCTGCTAAATATAATCAGCAAACTCTATGCCAAACACCTTCAAGATAAATTAAAGGAGTGGCTGGATCTTGAGAACCTGATTGCCGAAGAACAAGCCAGATTTAGAGAGGGGAGAGGCACCATAGATCAGTGCTTAGTTCTTCATCATTTGATTGAAAAATATGCATCAGATAGATCTGTATCATTATACACTGCCTTGTAACTGTGTCAAAAGGCAGCTTTTGACACAGTTACAAGGACTAAGCTATGGGAGAAGCTGGAAGCTGCCTCAATTGATCACAGATTCCTCTGTTACATGCCTTACATACCAAAACATCCCTCAAGGTGAGGTGTAATATGCAAGGGTCTCTCGACGTCAATTGAAACTCAAAAGGGGGTTAAACAGGGGTGCATTTTGGGCCCCTTGCTCTTCAATTTTTACATAAATGATATGGTAACATGGTTAAATAATCCAAATGACCACCCCCAAAAAATAGGTAACCGAAGCATTGCTCTGCTGCTCTATGTAGATGACGCTGTGATTCTGTCCAGGACATCAGTTGGCCTTAAAGGAACCTTGCGAGCCCTTGTCCAGTATTGCAAATATAATAAAGTGGACATAAATTATGAGAAAACAAAGGTTATGGCTTTTGCAAAAAGGCCAAAACAGTACTCATGGTATTTAAATAGCCACAAAATAGAGCAGGTAATCACCTTTAAGTACCTAGGGGTGGTCTTCCATGCCACTGGCTCACGAAAAGCCCATGGAGAATATGCGGCTGCCTCTGGCCAACGATCAGCGAACGCCATTCTTAATTTTTTCCGCACAAAGGGAGGACACTATGTTCCAGCTGCAATTAAGCTCTTTCTGGCCAAGTCGCTAGCACAGCTTCTCTACGGGACCTTGCTTGGACCCTCAGCTTCGTGTTTTATACCACTGGAAAGAATTCAATCCAAATTTATCAGAACAATTCTCCAGATGCTGCGCTGTGTCCTAAACGCACTTCTGCGCCTGGAGACAGGATTGATAAAAGTGGAAGCAAGAATCTGTATAGCTTCCTTAAACATCTGGCTAAGGCTTAATTGCTTTTTGCAAGGCTTTGCTCCATTAATTCTTCAAGATAAATTCTCCTCTTCATTGATCAAGGCAGTCAAGTCTAACCTTGCCAAACTAGGCTTCTCGCCGGCCTCAATTCTCAAATTGGACTACGACCAAGCAAAACAAACTTTGCATCAAAGGATTGAGGACATTGAGAGGCAAGCAGACTTAGGTATGGCTCCGCAGTTTCTGGCTCCAGACTCTTATTAGATACGTGGTTACACCTGCCAGGTATCTTAGTCAGTTGGAGTCAGCAAACCACCGGAAAGCATTCTCGCTTGCACATTGCCATGCATTTCTATCGGCCATCCTGTATGGCAAGTATAAAAAAACACTGTTGGCAGAAAAGACTCTGCTCCTGTGGCTCAGGAGAGGTGGAGACCATTGGACATACTCCTTCAATGTTCCTTCTATAGAGCTATTCAGAAAAACCATATCCTTCCCATAATTGATAGGTATCCTGGTTGTTCAGAAAGTATTTATCTCCAGTGGCTGCTTAAGGACAAGCAGGCAGTGATCATGGTGCAGGTGGCTAGATTCTGCGCAGCAGCATTGGGGATTCGCCAGAAACACAAAAACATTTTAGATCTTTTTAATAATCTTTTATAATTAATTTTATTATGTGTTTTAATCCAGCATTAGACTATATTCAAGGTATTTTTATTGTCAGGTCAGTATGATTCAGTTTTTCTGAAGGTAGCTAGTTTTTGTTATACTGTCTGTAAAACTAGGCAGACCTTGGTCACCCATTGATTACATCATTAATTGTAATATATTGCTATGTCCTCTTCTGTTGGTTCTGTTTAGTTTTGTTTTATTTGAATGTTTAATTTATGTATTGGCCTTTGGTTGTAATAATAATAAATTGAAATTGTACCTTCTAGAATTCAAACACAAAGTGCCAAGTGAGATAAAATGCCATAAAAACTATTCTAACATCTGTGAAATGATACTTACACTTACAGCAAAAGCAGCTTGGTAAGTGACTTCAGGTGGAAAGGTAAATGAATGTCCTGTTGTTACTGGACTGCTGGGTGGTGGGGTTACAATTAGTCCTGTGGTACTAATGTGAACCTATTAACAGCAGATACATTAAACATAATTAATGTCTCATCCAGAAAATTCAATCGTTCCATAAGTGAAAAAGTGAAATACTTTTACAACAAAATATTACCTTCATATTTAATATAAATTATTTCTAGTCTTAAAATTTATATACGTTTCACTTTTAAGTACAAATGTGTGATACAAATGAATGTTATGGTTAATGTATTTGAGATTTCTTTATGAGATTTATTAATATTATTAATAAATAATAACAATATTCCTTTTATCCATTTTTTATATTTTTAATGTTTTAATTTTAATGCTTAATTTTTAATACTCTAATTGTTTTATATTATATCTTATCATATTGTAAGCTGCCCAGAATCACTTGATAGTGAGATGGGTGGCATATAAATTAAATGAATAAATGTACTTTTATCAATTTTATCAAAATGATTTCTTCTTTTATGCATCCCTATACAGAATAAATAAACTCTGTGCAATGTTAACCGGGGTTATCACTTTCAAATAGTATTTTTAGCAAGCTTCAACAAAGTTTGTAAAACTGGGTTGATCACCCCCTTAATGACTGTCATCACTTATGACTATGATGGGCAAGCTTCATTACAGTCATAAGTCAAGGACTATCTGTACCTAAATTCTCATCTAATTCTCAATTTGTGAAGGGCGAACAATCATTCCAATCTGTTTATATCTGGAAGATTTTAACCACAAATTTTAAAGTAACTAACATTATTTAAATGTTATCTAGTTTAGGAATAAAATTATTTTAAACTTTACTAGAAAACATTTAAAAGATAACCTATTTAAAGTGAGGAAAAAAACCTCATGTAAAAAGCAAGAACAGCTGTCTTCAGATAAAAATATTTAATAATTCAAGATTATCCTTTAATAAATAAGATCTGCTTACTTTAATACAAATATAAAAATATTTAGATCAATAATTATACCCCATTTATTTTGACAATATTGTAAACTGTCATTTAAAAATGATACACCTTGATTTTCACTTTTACCTGAGAAGGTGCACTGCAAGAAAGACCTGAAAGCTCAGTTATCCGTGCTGCAGCAGTTGGATTACTGGAGCTGATGAGAACAGGAGGGCTTATTTCCATTGAGTGACGATTCTGAGAAGACTGTGAAGCCTTATTGGACATGGTAAGGGAAGTAAAAGAATGGCGTTTTTTGGTGTTCTTCTTCACATCAGTATACTTTTGAACTGAATTGCAATGGGATGTACCAGAGGTGCCTTCTCCAGAATCTACTGTAGAAACTGATGGTTTGTCTAGTTCAATAAGTTGTTTTGCTGTTGAGTTAAACTGCAAGAAAATAACCATAAATATTAACCCTATCATTTGATTAAAAGAAAAATTGTGTTAGTTCCATTGTAATTATATATTGTGCATTAAGTTATATTTTTGTATCAATCCTGAATGTTTTGAATTCATTACATTTGGCCGCTCTATGTATATAAATGTTAGAAGAGAAGAAATAGAATCTTTATTCTCTTCTCCATTCATTACTTAATAATATTGAAAAAAAATCTATGAAGTAAATTACTGCAATCACACCTCTTTGGGATCATGGTTAAAGTAATCTTTAAGTTTAATTATATCACAAAGTACATGCACATATTGCTTGATTTCTTGATAAAATAATAGAAAACAGGATAAAATAATAGAAAACAGAAAACAAGCTGGTATGGTGTCTGCTTAAGAAATATATACCTCTAATCACTTGGGGTATAGATAGATGAAAAAAAACTTAAGAATATGCACAAAAAGGCAATTTTACTTGCAATTAAATCTGTTTAAATTATCAGAAATTTACTTATTAAATAGAATTTTAAAGAGATAAATTAATGATAGACTTCCAGAAAAAAAATCACACATAAATATATATACACACCACATAGATAAAGGCAAAGGTTGCCGGTTATCTGTACACTTCAACCCCTTTATTGCCAGTTATAAACTTAGAGGAAAACTATGGAAAGATACAGTATCGAAATCCCTTTAAACAATTTTTTTCCAAAAGTCAATTTATCACTGTAAAAATCTGAAAATTAGCAGGTAAAGAAGCTGGGACAGATTTATGCCAAAACTGCAATATCTTCCTTATCATATAACATTCCAAGACTGTTGATTTAAAGCAACAGGCCAGGCAACTGGGATACTTACACTATTCTCCCTCAAAGAAGTCATGTTAAAAATTAGTATCCTAAATTATTAAGATTAGATTTTAACTATCAGTATGAAACTATTTGTCTTTCACATCTTTAGCTAATAAACTTCTTACATTAATCCTCACACAAACTAAAGTTTCTTTTTATATGAGTTTACAATCCTTCCTCATTACTTAATATATTATATAACTTATGAAATTTTCTTAACCAATAAAATGCACTAGCAGCATTTATAAATTAAAATGTAAGATTGTATTGGACATAACATTTTTTTTTATTTTTCAAGCTTATTTTTATTAAACTTGTCTATTAACCATGACTACCTAATGAGCTTTCCTTTTTATTAAAATGTATTTCTTTCCAGTACTGTATAATCACATTTAATCACAATCTAAACTGTATTTAGAAATTATTATAATGCAGTGCTCAGTGTAAGATTGGATAATAAACTGCATTAGTCCCTTACAATATCTCAAATTTCTTCCTTAAGAGTGCATCTGCTATAGCAGTTTTCATTTCAGCAATAAATATTAATATCAAACTTCTGAAAAACTGAAACTGGACAGAGCAATAACCTCATTTTGTTTTCATTTGTGACTGGGCAAGCTTACTGCACAAAAAGATAAAGGTAAGCTTTTCTAACCCATAATTTGGTTTGAAATTTTGTTAAGGATATGAATACTGTAATTTAAACTAAGGCTAAAACATTAAGTCTTATTTAAAGAGCACTATTATGAACCATTCATTATAGGAGGAATAATACTGGCCAGGTTACAGTAGTGGCCAAAATTGTGGAAACCTTTTGGGAAAAGTGTACATTTTAGGTTTGATGGCTAATAACACCACTGTCTTTTGAAGTAGTACCATAAAGTTATATATCAATGGAAAGATACGTTAATCAAGAATGTAATGCAACAAAGTTTGTTCAATTATCTGTATTCTATGAAAGGTTATAGCCAAATAACCAGAAAAAGGAAGCACAATTTGCTTAGGTTGATATCAGGTAGCTTTCCTTCATCTGATTGTAGCCAATGAGCATGAGCATTTAGAGAGCCAATCAGGTGTCATCTTGTTTTGGCAATGAGCCAATCAGATCAGAGTAGGATTCAGTTATTGATGTCATGTATTGAAACTGAGAGGAGGACATTTGTGAGTGTGTTATGAGATCCCTATCAAGTTGGTTGGGGTTTTTTGTGTTCTTTCATTTAGTGAGCTTGTAAAATGTAATAAAATTAAAGTAATGGTGCAAAGAGTTGACTGGTTGCCCAGAAAGCGATGTAAAATAGTATTATTAAGTGAACAAGGCTACAGCTATAAAGAAATTAGAAGAAAAATTGGTGGAAACTTAACCAAAGGTGGCATTTCTACGTTTTTGAAGAGGTATAAGGAGATTCAAGTCACTACAAAACCATACTGGTAAAGGCAGGAAAAGGTGCACAATAGCAAGTGATGATAGAAGAATTAAGAAACTGTGCCTACGTGACAGAAGAAAATCATCTGGGTGTATACAAGATGAAATGGCGCAATGCAATGTGAAGTTGAGTGCAAGGACTGTTTGGCGCAGACTGCAGGAATTTGGCCTAAAATCTAGAATTCCACGAAAAAAGTCACTTTTATCTCTCAAACAAAGGTTGAAAAGACTAAACTGGGCTAAAATCCATGTTACCTGGATAGAGGAACAATGGGACAGTGTTATTTGGAGTGATGAGACCAACCTCTCAGTTTGGTAGTGATGGCATAAAATACATAAGGAGAAGAATCGGAGAAGATTTGCATCCTGATTGCATTACATGTACCATGAAACACCCAGTCAGTGTTATGATCTGGGGTTGTATGACATCAAAAGGTGTGAGCAGAATTTGTGTAATTAATGGGAATATAAATGGCCAAAAATACATTAATGAAATACTTGAGCCCAAACCGAAGCCTTCCACACATGATCTTTTCCAAGACAATGAAGCATTTTTATTTCAATAGGATTCAGCTCCATGTCATGTTGCTGCTGTGTGCAAAAAGTGGTTTCAAGATAATCATATTCGGACTTCCGGTGGCTGCCGGCGGCCGATGGAGGCAATCTGACAGCCTCCCGTCAGCGTTCTATGTAAAAGCCGGCAAAACAGCGCGTATCAGCTGTTTGCCGGCTTCAGCCTTCTTCTCGGGCGAAGGGAAGAAGGTGAGCTGCTGGTGAGTAGGCGTAGAGTTCCCTAGTCTCCCCTGAGGGCTCTCGGGGAGATGTA